GTACGAACTTCGGTAAGACAATGATTGTATGGTAACTACGCATAAACATGACGCGCCGCTCCGTGTCACCCCGTGCCATCCCCACTTCAAGGTCGCCGCTCGTCTAACTGTCGAAATATTACGCGTATTGAAAAATTAATAAAATAATCTACTCGTTTTAATATTCGTCGATGAATGTTACATCGTAAAAGTGCTTTATATACACGATTTACACATTTTATTTTTTGAATTCGTTACGAACACAACTCATCTATATCTTAGGCTGATATTCATAGTGTCAGAACTTATATTCACCGTCTTAAGTACAATTTTAAGAAGTCACGAATCAGAGAGCCGTATTGGTATCTTAAGACATTACTTAAGACAGTCTTGAAATAAGAATGGACTATGAATACCGCTCTTAGATATTTCTAACTTATATATCTCTGTAAATGTATAACATGAAATCTATTTATACCCATTATTATATTAGTCCAAAATGTTTTATAATTTAAAAAATGCAACATTATTATTTGGGCATCCTTACGTAATTAATCGTCAATTCTCGTTCGCGAATATTTAATTTTCATAGATTAATATGCGACGCCCGGAGCGATCGTACCACACGTCTGTCTCTCTCCGTGCTTGCCGAGCGAATGCCGAAGTGATGACGTAGGTCAACCACCGGGCCGCTCCCCCCTCGTTTTCGCCGCGCCCTTGCTTTTCTTCACTGAGCGCCGTTTAGATTATTGCTTATGAAAAATATTGACGGTCTATTCAATTATACGCATTTTGATAAACGGGTATTGTCGTACATTTCGCGCTTTGCTTTGTGACATCTTTAGTCCTTGTTAAATCATATATTATAATATTTGCGCGGTTCTTGTAAATGTAATTAGTACTTGTGTTTGCGTGGAGCATTTCTGATATTTATTTAAAACAATTAAAAATAGATTCGGGAAACTTATTTAAAACATCTAAATAAAAAATAAGTCAGAAGTGAAGTTATTAAAAATAATAAATACTTAACTTCAAATAAATATATATTTTTTTTATTTAAAATATGTAATTTATCAGTTTTTTATCGATTCCTACGATTTTATATTTTAAATAAGATTCTGAAACTCATTATATATATATATTTATGATTTTAAATAAATCGTAATAGTTATTATACTGAGTCATGATTGGCATTGTACGTAAGTTTAAAGAATTTTTAAAATACAGAATAATTTACAGCAATCGCAGTGTCATAAATAAATTTTTTAGCTGAAAAAATTAAATAATAATTGACAAGATATTTAATATTTTTAGCCATAGCTGCATTTAACGCAAATTGTTCCGCAATATTAATAAAATTTGCATGTATCTTTATATAAAGGATAGAATATTATCAACTTTTAATTATTATTGAATTATTTAAATGAATAATAAAAATTGAGACATAATGTTGGAATATCAGAAATGCTCCAAGCACGCAAACACAAGTACTAATTATGTTTACAAGAACCATGCAAATATTATAATATGATTTAACAAGGATTAGAGATGTCACAAAGCAAAGCTTTGCTAGTGAAATTTACGACAATATCCATTTATCAAAATGCGTATAATTGAATAAACCGTTAATATTTTTCATACGCAATAATCTAAACAGCGTCCGGTGAAAAGCAAAGGCGAGGCGAAAGCGAGGGGGGAGTGGCCCGATGGTTGGCTACGTCGTCACTTCGGCATTCGTTCGGCGAGCGCGGAGGGAGACAGACGTGTGGTACGATCCGGGCGTCGCACATTAATCTATGAAAATTAAATATTCGCGAACGCGAATTGACGATTAATTACGTAAGGATGCCCAAATAATAATGTTGCTCAAAACTGAGGTGTGTACTAAGAATTATATCTCAATCTTTATTACTCTCTTTAATGATTTACATTCAAATAAAGATGATAATAAGTTATACATTATAGTTATTCATTATATAAACAAACATTTTTTAAATTATAAAACATTTTGGACTAATATAATAATGGGTATAAATAGATTTCATGTTATACATTTACAGAGATATATAAGTTAGAGATATCTAAGAGCGGTATTCATAGTCCATTCTTATTTCTGACTGTCTTAAGTAAGACTGTTAAGTAATATCTTAAGTAATGTCTTAAGATACTAATACGGCTCTCTGATTCGTGACTTCTTAAAAATTGTACTTAAGACGGTCTTGGATATAAGTTCTGACACTATGAATACCAGCCTAAGATGTAGATGAGTTGTGTTCGTAACGAATTCAAAAAATAAAACGTGTAAATCGTGTATATAAAGCATCGTGTAATATTCATCGACGAATATTAAAACGAGTAGATTATTTTATTAATTTTTCAATACGCATAATATTTCGACAGTTAGACGAGCGGCGACCTTGAAGTGGGGATGGCACGGGGTGACACGGAGCGGCGCGTCAGTGTTTGTGCGTAGTTACCGTACAATCATTGTCTTACCGAAGCTCGTACAGGCAGGTAGCCGTTTTGCGTGCCATTCTTCTTTACATTCCCTTTTGAAACGTAATCTCAAAAAATGCTAAATATAATAAACTTTATAAATAATTACATTAGCAATCGTATTATATGAATATTCATGAAATAAAATTTCGTATTATATCTAGCATTTTTCGCGGTTATACTTTTCAAAAGAATGTGAAGAAGAGCGGCACGGCTACTTGTCTATACGAACAGTATCACGAGTCGTAAAAAAGCAATGAATATTCTCGTGCAAAAAAATCGTAATTCCTGCTTTTACAATGAATATGGTTTAATAATTAATAAATTTTTTTTGAGCACCTTTCGATTCTACATGAAGATCTGTTTAAAAATTAACCGTAACTATTTATCGGTAATAAAAGAAATATTTTTCTTTTTTATTAATCTCTAGCCTATTTCATTCTAGACTCTAATCATTTATGTCTAAGTAAAAGATTCACCCCTTTTATCTGCTCTAACTTTATTTCGCGACGAATTGCAGACGTAATATTCGTTTCTAAAAGTTAACCGATTGCATAGTAATATAGATAATAGCTATATATTACATTTTTCAGATTATCTTCCCTCTCACAGGTATGATCTTGATAAGGTGGTAAGAGGGCTCAGTAGGTACCCAGAGGATATTTACACGAAAAGAACATTTTTTTCTCAAGTATTTAAAAATTTTCGGATATATCTGAATATAATATATCTAGATAACTTTTTAAATATTGAGTAAAATCATTCTCTTTGTGTGTAAAAATCCAACAGAAGCTAACATACTCTCGCCACCGATTTAAAAATGAACGAACCGCAGCCGGTTCGTCGCGTCGCGCGTTTCGGGAGTGCCATTCAAGTTATCGGACTCAAGTTATAAGTCCGCGCGCGATTATATTTTATTATTCGCGAGTATTTTACGTGAGTGTCCTGTGCGAGATGTTAATCATATTCTGAGAGGAGGAGGAGGTCTGGAAGAGACATCAGGCACCGGTGGAGCAACCTTGCGGTAAATATTATTTTTTACTTGTGTAAAATTAATCTTTTTTTGCTTATTTTTAAATCATTTAATTTGACATTGATAAAAATAATTATTTTTAAATCATTGTTAAATAAAATGATTTAATTAATTTTATAATCTATCAAATAATTCTATAAAATAATTATATATTCTCTAAAATAATTATATATATTCTCTAAAACAATTATGTATTTTTTTTAAAGATCTATAATAGTAAATTTGTATAAAATTTGTAAGTAATTTTTAAGTAATTCT